CACCTCTCCCCCCTCCCCCTCCTGCCCCCCCTCCCACCTCTTCCTCCTCGACCTCCACACCCTCCTCCTCAATGTCCACACCCCCCATCTCAACCTCTGCACCCTCCTCCCCATCCCCCCGGGGATGCCGAAGCCCCCTCCTCCACCGTGCTGGGAGGTGGTTGGCCCGGCGAGACCCCCAGCCCTGAGTGCTGAGCTTCCCTTCCTCCTTCTTCCCCTTGCTTCCCCCTTCCAGCTCCCTCCCCTCTCCCACCCTCTCCTACGTCCTTTCCCCCGTCCCCCCAGAGTTTCATTACCCTCCCCAATTGTGTTAAATAAAGACAGGTTATATTTTTGAAAATACATGTCTTTTATTTGACATGGGGCGGGGAGGGCTAGGGAAGGGATGAGAGGGAGGAATGAGGCACAAGCCCCCAGTGGGGCAGACCAGGGAGGCTCTTAGTACTCCTCAGGGTGGAAGCTCTCCCGCAGGGCCCCCTGGATCCTGATGGTGCTCCTGGATGGCAGCCTGCAGACAGTGCAGCCAGGCTGCTGGCAACGTGTCCACAGGATGCAGCAGAGTCCGTGGGGGCAGGTCTGGTTCCATGTTGCAGAGTGCTGTGCTGTACCGAGCGAGGGCAAGCAGAACACTCCGAGACACAAATGCTTTGCTGTCCCTCAGCGAGGTGGACCAGCAAGCAGAGAAACCTGAGAACTGTCTGTCTGGAATCAGGGGTCTGGTCCCTTTAAGCACAGACCTCAGCTACCCTAAGGCAGCAGTCCCATGCACTAAGTCTGACCCTGATGCCCTTTTGGCACTGGTTCCAGCCAGCCTTACCTTCGATTCAGGGTCCACTCAATGTGGACACGCTATTTTGAATTAGAAAAATGCTATTTCGAATTAGTTTTTGTATCTAAATGCATTATTTCGATTTACCTTATTTCGAATTAACTAATTAACAAACTCACAGATCTTACTTCCAGTACATTTATATGGACAGTCTTTCCTTTTGGTGTCCAGAGGCCCGGTATGGTAGAGTTTTCAATGTGCACCTCCCCTACCCGTAAGAGAGGCATCTGTTGTGATGATGACAGAGGGCTCTGGTGTTTGGAATGGGATTCCTGTGCATAGGTTCTGTGTCTTTGTCCACAATAGTAGTGTGGCAGAATGGAGAGAACCCTGTTTAGGGGATGGTAGTTTGGCCTGTTCCAGCCCTGGAGACACCTCATGAATAGATGTACATTGGAGACCACTGGGTTTCATGCTGCCACGTGGCCGAGCAACTGAAGGCAATCATGTGCCGTGACGATAACGTGCCATTTTTTTAACCAGGTCCCTACTTTTCTTGAACCTTTTGATGGGCAAGGAAGTCATTGCCACCATTGAATTGAGCTGTGCCCTATAAACTGTATGGACTGTACTGGTGTGAGCACTGACTTTGTTTCATTTCTTAGTAGTCCCAAGGAATGGAAGCAAGTCATGACTGTATGAATACTGTGATGGGACTGTGCCTCTGATCTGGACTTGATCAGACAGTCGTTAAGATATGGAAAAATGATGACATTGAGTTTCCTTAGGTAGGGGGTGACTACTGAAAGCATCTTGGAGAAGACCCTTGGTGCTGCGGAGAGTCCAAATAGGGGAACGCAGTATTTTCTATTAGCCCTTTTGCAGGTGGGAAGTATGGTTGCAGCGATCTGTCAAATTGTTTTCACAGGGTCCATGATAGTAGGATTTATGGGAAGTGTGATCTTTGTGGTAGGGGTGGCCCATAGGATGTTGGTAAGCTCAGGTTGGGTCTCAGAGACTTCCTCCATGGCAAAATTCAAAATCACTGCCATTCTTTTAAAAAGGTCCTGGAATGACATAAAGTCAACGGCTGCCATTGGAGATGGTGGCATTACTACTTCATCCGGCAAGAACGGTGAGTTGGTGTCAGGAGATGTATCTGGTCCTGATTCAAGGGTTCGCTGATCTGTTGCATCCTCCTGAACCCACTGAGGAGATGGAAACTGAGGTGGAGGGGAGAATTCAGGATGTTTGTCTGTATTCTCAGTGTGCTTTCTCCTATAATTACATGGCCATGGACTCCAATACTGCCACTGTGTGCCGTATGGCATGGGCAGTGGCATCCATATGTATGGTTCTCAAGGGGGATTGCAGCCCCCATTGAATGTCTAAAAGTGGGGTGGGAGGACAGTACCAAGACCTTGGTGCCAGGTGACAGCTGAGGCAAAAATAATAACTCCCCTCTGTCATCTTCATTGCTGGATCGGAGCATAGGAGGAGAGATGTACCTCGGTGCCCGTATGGCTGGCAATGTATCAGTGCCGAGGAATGGGGAGTGAAAGGTGCAAAAGACGGCAAGGTCCTTGTGACACAGGTACCTCAGTGCCGGTGCTGATGGCATGTCCACTGACACTGATGACTACTGCGGTACCATACGGTTGTGGCACCGGTAGCTGCATTGATGGTACTGGAGTCTGGTGCCAGTTGATCTTGAGGTGCCACGTGATGTAGTCCTGGCATTGATGATTCTGCCTTCAGTTTCTCTAGCACTGCAATGGGCCCTTAATTTGTATGTAGTCTCAGTGCAGGGTTTTTGAGCTCTCTGTTTAGTGGTGCCGTGCTGGGTGCCAGAGACACTTGGCGTGTCACACATGCTGATGCGTGGAGCGGCCTCAACTCTCAGTGCTGATTTCTCAGTCATGCGCCGTGTGGGCGACTTGTGATTTATGATATAGAGAGGAGGCACGTTATTTGGAGGATTTTTTCCCCTTGTCAGATTTCCGTTTTTTGGGCTGTTGAGTTCCTGGATCAGAGGCAGGCAGCTGTGCTTTTTCAAGCTGGTAAATGAGGAGAGCCAGTTTAAAAACCAGCTCCCCTTATGGACTGGCTGCCTGTTGCCCTGTGCTGCTGCCTCTGATACAAAGGCAGTAGCATGGAGTGGCAGCTGCCCCTGTCCAGGGGAGGGTCTGAGCTCCTGGAGCTGGCATGAGCTGGAACTGAGCCAGGCTGCCTGCTCACCTGCCCCCTAATACACTTTAAATGCAGAACCACAGCAGGAGTCCAGGACCCAACGCAAGCTGGGATTGCTGGCCATCCTGCTAAAAAATTTACTGGCAACAGGAGCAGGAAAATGCGTGTAGTCTATAGCATTAACCAACAAGCATTTGCTTATGGGTTAATTGGTTAATCGACTATACTGTTACATTCCTAATCTTAAAGTGGAGGTCTCTATCCCTGCACATACATGCCTTAAGCTTAGCACAGTAGTGGAAATCCTGGTGCACATGACTCTTGCCTAGGTATTTAACACACTCTGAGCGTCCATCTGAGATGGGCATCGTGTCATTACCAGTGAAGCAGCGTTTAAATCCTTGTGATCAAGGCATTTTTGTCCAAACTGGGTAAAACCAGAGCAATGGGGGAAAACAACTTGGATAACAGTTTTTTTCTTTTTTGGGGGGGGGGGAACGAACTTGGATGAGACCAACAAAAGGAAGAAGAATGAGAAATGGGTGAAAACAAACAACTTACCTACATAGAATAATAGTGAGTGAAGAGCACTGCTGAGCTCTGTCTTAAGTTGGAGACGGTAAGAAAGAACTGAGGGGAGGGTGGCCGCACATGCGTGGTTGCACTGCGTGGTGCTCGCACACCCTACCTGCCATGCTTGCACGGCCCCCCTAAACACTGCTGTGAAGAATCTGGTCTGCAGTGCTGGGGCACACTGAGACCTGCTGTGGAAGAGCCACTGGGATGTCCCTCAAAGAAGAATTCCAGTCCTGACTGACATATCTCAAAACATGCTGCAAGAAACCCTCCAGTATGTATATAGTCCAGCAGTGAAGCAAAGCATCCTGGGAATGCTAGCTGCTCACTCCACAGAAAGTCCCAGCTATTGACATACAGATACATATTGAATGACAAAACAGTAGACAGTCTATATGCCAGCAATGTATACTAAAATGCACTATTTAGCACACAAAAATTAATTGTGTGTGAACTGCCCTCTCATTCTTTGTAGACACAAAACTTATGCATTCATACACCAACCGATGCATTAGAATCAATTCTGATTTGGGTGTCTGGATGTTACAGTAATCTAAATATTAAATAAATTATAATATTTGACAATTTATTTTAAATAGTTGTCATCCACTTTAAATATAATATTGTTCTTTGACAGTAAGCAATTTTCCCCATAATATTCACTATCTCAATTAACTATAATTATGGTAATGTAAGTTATTGGCAAGTGAAATGTACATATCTGATGCTGTAAATAAAAATAAGGATGTCTTATCATAGGTGAACAACATCACAAAAACAACAAAAAGAAAAGATTTATAACATTGGGTCACCTAACACTAGCAAGTATGAAAATGATCCAGCACAACTAAAAATTGGGGAAAAGGTCACCAGGGAGAATAATTAATTTGTATGACTTACCTCTCGTGAATCTACTGCTGCATACATAATGTCCATCCAACCTTTAAATGTTGCCTAAAATAAAAGACACATTAAAATCCCATTAAACTTTCAGGGAGAGATGCTTTAGCCAGTTTGCAACATCTTTGTACCACTGAGCTGGAGCAAAGGTAATGCAATCTATCTATAAATGCCCAATAGACATATTTCTGGTGAAGGTGATCTCCCTGATGATATGTCTGACACAGGCCTCTGTGCCCTATTCATATTTTTGCATAGATGACATGTCAGGGGAGGGAGGAGGCAAACTGCAGCAGTGTTCTACCATAGCAGTCCTCCACTTGTGTATGATTCATAAAGTTCCTTAATTCAGTGGTGGAACAAAATTGCTGAACAACAGGTTTTTATTGTGTTGGAATGGGGTTTGATCCTAAGAATCAGAGAACTGGAATTAACTCTCTAATGCTATATCCCCCTTCCCATTTCTGGCAGAAAGAGAATTTTGCCTTCAGTTTCATGAAATTAAAATAAACATTCCATCTTTCCTCTATAGGGCCACTATTCTGCACCCTTTATAGAAGTGGGTGAGTAATCAGCACTATGACACTACCCCATAGTATGCTGACAAGCAAAAGAAAACAGAACTTACCACCTGAAGAAGAGCCAGATAACCAGAACCAACATTATCGAAGTTGACTTTAACATTTACCCAATATATTTTTTGCGTGTCATTATAGTTGGTACAATTGTATTTGTTCTTAATATTTTTGTTTAAGTTTGATTTTTCTTCGGTCAAGTTAATGCATTTTCCAAATTTTCCTGCAAATAGGTTCACTCCCATGATACTAAAAATGAGCCAGAAAATGAGGCATACAAGCAGAACATTCATAATGGAAGGGATGGCACCCACCAAGGCATTTACAACCACCTAAAAAGTGAAATAAAAGAAAAGCATATAGTTATTATAGGCATTTCCATAAGCAGGGCTCTGTATAGCTATTCACCACATTAAACTATTTGAAAAACTAAGGAATCCCTTGTGTGTAATGATGTATTCATGATGGTCTCAGGATATTAAAAGGACACAGTGGGAAAGGTAATATATTTTATTGGACCAACTTATATTGATGAGAGAGTCAAGCTCTTGAGCTCTTTTTCAAGTCCAGGAATCCTATTCAATATTACAGCTAAATACAAAGATTGTTTAGCATAAGTAGCTAGCATATATTATATATATAGTAGCAGGTAGAGTGGGGATGCTCAGTGGGTTACAGATTGTTGTAATATGAATAAATCCAGTATCCCCATTATTGTAAGTGACTGTCAAAGTTATCAATTTAAGCTTCCAGACTTCTTCTTTGAAAGTTTTGTTCAGATTTCCTTTAGAATCATAGAACACTAGAACTGGAAGGAACCTCAAGAGGTCATCAAGTCATCTCCTGCATTCATGGAAGGACCAAGCACCATTTAGACGAGGGATCTGAAACTCCTGGCCCACAGGCCACCCCTAGCTGCAGCATATTCACAGTCCAGCCTAGGACTCCCAGTGGGCAGGAGAAGCTGATCATTCCCCAAAACCCATCCCTTCTCCCTCCCCATTAGCACCCCATCACCCAAAGACATGGCTTCATCTTCACACAAGTCACAGCCAGCAGGGCGAGCTGGCAACTCATAGGTGACATTTGTAAGAGAGAGATCATGAAGACCACTGGGGTTCACACCCAAGAAATATCTGAAGATAAAGTGAGAGGTTGAACTTGTCTGAGAGGAGGATTAGTTTTTTCTGATATTTGTTTCTTTACAGGTTTCAAACATCTTTCATCACATCAGGAAAAATGGAAAGCAACCTAAATTATTTTACCAGTCAAGTTTGCACTTGCACAGGTTAAATGCTCCAGTGACAGCTTTTGATGTTGTCTCCCACAGTATTCTTACTGGCAAGTTAAGGAAGTATGGATTTGATAAATGGACTGTAAGATGGATAGAAAACTGGCTAGATTGTCGAGCCCAATGTGTAGTTCAACATCATTATTAATGACCAGGAAGAGGGGATAGACTGCACCCTCAGCAAGTTTACGGATAACACTAAGCTAGGAGATACATTGGAGGGCAGGAATAGGGTCCAGAGAGACCTAGACAAATTGGAAGATTGGGTGAAAAGAAATCTGATGCACTTGGGTTCCTGCACTGGGGAAGGAAGAATCCCACGCACTGTTACTGGCTGGGGACAGAGTGGCTAAGCAGCAGTTCAGCAGAAAAGAACCTGAGGATAACAGTGGAAGAGATGCTAGATACAAGTCAATAGTGTGCCCTTGTAGTCAAGAAGGCTAATGGCATGATAGGGTGCATTAGGAGGAAGATTTCCAGCAGATCTAGAAAAGTTATTATTCCCCATTTATTTGGCATGGGTGAAGTCACATCTGGAGTATTGCGTCCAGTCCTGGGCCACTCACTATAGAAAGGATGTAGATGTATTGGAGAGGGTCCCGCAGAGGGCAACCAAAATGATTAGAGGTCTGGACCTAAGAGGAGAGGCTGAGGGATTTGGGCTTATTTAGTCTAAAGAAGAGTGAGGGGGGATTTGTTACCAGCCTTCAACTATATGAAGGAGGGTTCCAACGGGAGAGAGGTTGTTCTCAGTAGTGACAGATGGTAGAGCAAGGAGCAATGGTCTTAAGATACAGTGGGGGAGCTCTAGGTTGGATATTAGGAAAAACTATTTCACTAGGGCTGTGTCTAGACTACAGGGTTTTGTCGACAAAAGTGGACTTTTGTCGACAAAACTAAACCTGTGTCTACACTACCGCTGAGTTCTGTCGACATAATGTCGACAGAACTCAGCAGTTTTGTCGACGCTGGTAAACCTCATTTTATGAGGAATAATGCCTTCTGTCGACAGAGTTCTGTCGACGGAAAGCGTTATTGCATCTAAACTGTCCTTTGCATCTACACTGCCATGTCGACAAAGCAGTTTGCTTTGTCGACATAACTGAATGTAGTGTAGACACTCTTTGTCAACAGAAGCTTTGTCGACAGTATCTGTCGACAAAACTTCTGTCGACAAAAGCCTGTAGTCTAGACGTACCCTAGGAGGGTAGCGAAGCACGGGAATGGGTTACCTAGGGAAGTGGCGGAATCTCCATCCCTAGAAGTTTTTAAGTCCCACCTTGACAAAGCTCTGGTTAGGATGATGTAATTAGGGTGGGTTGTGATTTGGGCAGGGGGCTGGACTTGATGACCTCTTGAGGTCTCTTCCAGCCCTAGGATTCTATGATTCTAAGTAGCTAGGTAATTTGCTGCATATGAAGAGAAGTGGCTGAACAACTGACTGCAGGTCCCCCAGAAAGGGGGAGCATAGTGTGTTGCATGGTTATAGGCTGTGCCACTGAAGAGGACACTATGGGTCCTACAGAAGGAGTGCCAGTGGTGAGGCACCTCCCAAAAAGGGCATACTAACAGGCAGTGGTAATTCCCAAGACAGTCAGCAGGAGGTGTCAGAATGGTGAGTGATCCCCATTATATCCTTTCACTGATGCTGGGATAAGAAAAAATGAGCTTCTGAATCTGTCTAGAAGCACAGGACCCTCATGTGGGCAAACATCTTCCAAGATCTGAGATTGATCCCTGATTCTTCCACAGGAAGAGCAGTGACAAATTCCCCATGCAGAGTTTCCCACATGGTTTCCCATAATGCTTAACAGAATAGACTAGAGAAAAGCTCCAAGATCTAAGACTGATCCTTGCTTCTTCCATCAGAGTAAGGCATTTGATACAGTCTTGCACAACCATCTCATAAACAAACTATGGAAATACAACCTTTATGGAGTTACTACGAATGGGTGCATACCTGACTGGAAATTCAGTGCAGAGAGTTGTTATCAAGTGGTTCACAGTCAAGGTGGAAGATCATATTGAATGAGGTTCCACAAGAATCAGTTCTGGGTATAGTTCTGTTCAATGTCTTCATCAATTATTCAGATAATGGTATAGAGCACTGATAAAGTTTGTGGTTGATGCCAACTTGAGAGGGGTTTCAGTGTTTGAAATGATAGGGTTAAAATTCAAAATGATCTAGGGCAACTTGGAAAAATGGAGGGAAGAAAGTAGAATGAAATTCAATAAGTACTCCAATTAGGAAGGAAGAATCAGTTGCACATATACACAATGGAAATTGATTATGTGGGAAGGAGACCTGCAGAAAACAATTGGGGAGGAGTGGATCACAGTGGATCACAAGCAAAATATGAGTCATATATACTGAGTACTGTTGGGAAAAAAGCAATTATGCAAGGATGTATTAGCAGGAGTGTTGTAAGAAAGACACAAGAGGAATTTCTTGTACTGTACTCCATGTGGATTAGGTCTCATCTGGAGTATAGTGTGCAATTCTGGGGAAAGATTACATTTACATTTCAGGAAAGATGTGGCCAAATGGGAAAAAGTCAAGAGAAGTGCACGAAAAATGATTGAAGGCCTAGAAAACATGACCCATGAGGGGAAACTGAAAACACTGGGTTTGTTTAGTCTGGGGAAGACAAGACTGAAAGGGAACGTGGTAATAGTTTTCAAGTACATGAAAGGTTTTTGCAAGGAGGGAGAAAAATAGTTTTGACTGACCTCTGAGGATAGGACAAGAGGCAATGGGCTTAAACTGCAGCACGGATGGCTTACATTGGATATTATGAACATTTTCCAGTCAGGTTGATTAAGCACTGGAATAAATTGCCGTGGGAGGTTGTGGAATTTCCATCATTAGAGATTTTTAAGAACAAGTTAGACAAACACCTGTCATGGATGCTCTAGATAATATTTAGTTTGGCTATGAGTACAAGGGACTGGACTACATGACCTCTCAGAGCCCTTCTCATGCTAAAATTCTATGATTCTATGTAAAAAATGGTGATGGTATTGTTGATCATGATTTAAACATGTCTGTCCAGATTAGATAAAAAAAAAGAAAATACAGGCCAGATGAATTGCTTAAAGTTCCATAGTGTTAATATTTAGAAGAGACTCTAAGACCACACTGCTTGGCTACGTCTACACTGGCCCCTTCTTCGGAAGGGGCATGCTAATTTTGAAAGTGGGAATAGGGAAATCCGCGGGGGATTTAAATATCCCCTGCGGGATTTAAATAAACATGTCCGCCGTTTTTTTTCCGGCTTGGGGAAAAGCCGGAAAAAAGCGTCTAGACTGGCCCGATCCTCCGGAATAAAGCCCTATTCCAGAGGATCTTTTATTCCTACTTTGCGGACATGTTTATTTAAATCCCGCGGGGGATATTTAAATCCCCCGCGGATTTCCCTATTCCCACTTTCAAAATTAGCATGCCCCTTCCGAAGAAGGGGCCAGTGTAGACGTAGCCCTTGAGTTTGATGATGTTGGAGATATACACTTCAACTCACTTCAGAGGCCTCCATTATCCTCATTAGAGTTGGCTGAAGAGATACAAATGGAAGGCCTTTACAAACATCAGAAGGCTTTAATACTAACAAAGGGATATCAGAACTTAATGGGGAACTCCAACATTAATATCTATGCTTTGTGTAAGGATCCATGAGTCTAGAAGGAAATGTTATTCAACCTATGCAGCAACTATAGTTCTTCAAGTTGTGTGTTGGTAAGGGTGATACAATTTAAGTGTGCAAGCATCCCATGCCCCTTAATGCGAGATTTTCATTAGCAGTTTTCATTCAACTTGCTCTTATGCCCTACACATCTTTGTTGCCCATTCAGAGGCTATTTAGAGCAGTACAGATGAACAACCTCTATGACAAAGTCACACCAAGAAAACTCCAATGTAGAGGGGAAGGAGGGCAGATAGTAGAGCACCCAACAGGGATACACATTTTGAACTATTGTTATTGCATAGGGAGAGTTCGTTCTTTGAGTGCTGTCCCTGTGTGTACTCCACTTCAGATAGTTGCTCAGCAGTATCCCCAGAAAGAGGCATCTTTGGAATAGACTCTAGTACATATGAAAGAACTGAGCTGCTCACTGCTGCATCAGATATAGAAGCATGATATAGTGTTTGGAGAAAGTATGTATTGAAGACCATGTAATGGTCAACCCTTCCACTAGAGAAAGGAAGACTGATATCACACACAGATGTATCTTAACTGAATTATTTGTTAAGCCTGTTTTCTTTCTTCAGTTGTAGGAAGCCATTCAGCATAAGTGAATGTTAGGAAGATTCAGGTGCAATTTGCTGGTATTCACACCAACAGCTAAATCTGTTCCACTTTTGAAGTATTATGGAAAGGTTCTCTCCTGCTGTACCCTCTACTGTATGTCCATGTACCACAGAGGAACCATGCCCTGAGGTGGAAAAACATGTTTGCCTGATTATTTTCATCACTTTTAAAATGAGGTGTTGTGGAAATGTGTAACACAGAACCTTTGTCCAAGGAAGAAGAAAGTCATCTCCCAAAGGCCTAGGCCCCTCATGGAGCAGAAAAACAATTCCTATTTGTGGCTGAGACAAAGAGATCCACCTCTAGATGTCCCAGATTCAAAATATGTCACCTAAGATCATCAACTGTCAAATTTTGTTCCAGGAATGTACACTGCCAAAATGTGAATACAATAGGCTATACATCAATTACATAACTTTATTGCTTCAGCACATAGACAGGAGATCTCATGACAGTTGATATAAAACATGAAGACTACTTTGTCTGCCAAGATCTTGACTGACCTCCCTCTGATAAAAGGAAGAAAGAGGAGACAGACATTTCTGATTGTCCTTAGTTCCAGAAGATGGTATGGAGATTGGTCTCTTGAGGTGATCATCTGCCCCGTACAAAATGAACCCTGAGATGTGTCCCACCCCCACGTTTGAGTAGGGAATGCATCTATCAGTATGGTGACCATCAGCAATGACCAAAGAAAGGCAATGTCAACCCCAACATTGTGGTGAGCCTTCCCCTAGTTTAGGAAATCCTTCATCTGGCATGGAAAAGAAACTTGTTTGTCTAAGTTGTGTCTATGTGGTGAATACAATCTCCCGAGTCAAGTCGGAAAGCAGCAAAGGTGTAACCTTGCATGATCTGTGATGGAAGTTCAAGCCATCATGTGACCCAGGGATCTGCAAACAGAGCCTCACTGAGGTCTGAGGCTCACTTGAATAGTCTTGATAAGAGGGAAGAAAGGCCCTGATAGTTAGTGAATCTAAAGATGCCTCAACCAACAAAGTGCATTTTTGAAAAAGGATCTACATATACTTCCTGACATACAACCTAACTGTAGGCACCATGAGAAAGTCTTCTGGGAGACCAGCATCACCACCCCATAAAATTAACCCTGGAACAGCCAATTGCTGAGGTATGGCAATACCACAATTGCTTCTCAATGTAGTGAGCAGTCACCACCACTATTGCCATTGAGAAAACCCTTGGAGCTGAGGAAAGACTAAAAGGAAGCATACAATATTGGAAGTGATCCTAACCTATCACAAAATGACTGTGAGCTGGGTGTATCAGAAAACAGAAATATGTCTCTTGTAAGTCAAGGGCTAAAAATCAATTTCCGCAGTTTAATGAAGGATTATTACTTCCAGAGTCACAATGGTGAATATTTGGCACTTTACAAATTTGTTTAGGAGTCTTACATCTAAAATCAGTCTCTGCCCTTTGTTTTTCTTTGATATGAGGAAGTACCTTGAATAGAAACCCTTTCCCCTATGTAGAGCTGGGACAGGCTCTGTTACTCCTAAGTAAAGGAGAGAATTTATTTCCAGTCTTATTAGGAATCATGAGAAGGGTTCCCAAAGAGGAAGGAGAAAGGGAGTGCAAAGGAGAGGGGGATGTGAAATGGATGTGACAATCTCCAAAATTCATTTGTCATGAATGTCAAAACAGGGAGATCGGAAATCTACTTGTAACTAGAAGACTAAAGAATGGGGAGGCTTCAAACCCTCAATTTGCCCTTTAAAACTGACACTTTTGAGGCTATCTGTATATTTGAATCAGCTTGGTTTGTATTTTTTCTTCCTCTGGAACCTGTGTTTTTTTCTCTTGGGTTTCATGGGACTCTGGTACCCAGAAAAATGTATCAAAGGAAGCCTGCTGCTGTAGCATTGCAGTTGTATGAGATTGCTTATCAGGGTGAAACTCTCTGACTGCACAGGTGATGGTGACCTTTGAATTGAATTAAATAAAGTTGGGGTCTTATAGTTCTGATCAAGAGTCCAAGGGTACCAGTACTACAAAAAAACTCTTTACAAAAGATTGAGGTACTCAAATTTAAAACATAGATACACCCATTTAAATTTGCCATTATGGATAAAAAGTTATAAAATGTTCTACTGACAACACTCCCGATGTTCAACTGATTATTTAAATGATCAGGAGCAATGATGAGAAGCAACAATGATGAGGAACAACAATATAGGCACAGGAAAGGCCCCAGATTGTAGCAGATTTCTTCTTAAAAAGGACTACAAAAAAAAGTGAGAGAATTTAGTCAAAAATTGCCAAAAGGGATTATTTTAAAACTTGTATTATTCTCTGTGAATAAGTTCATTTTTCATCAATCCACTTAAAAAAAATCACAATGTGCATGTAGTTTATATTCTGTGTTTCATTTGGTGCCATTTCAATGAGACTTTTATTAAATGGGTACTTAACATTCCTATTAAAGCTGAACTATTAAATGTAATCTTAGCTGTGGTGCTATGCAACATAACAAAAACAAAACTATATAAAATATTGTCACTTTACATCCTTGATAGCCACGCTAGCTGGGCTTCAATTGTTACTTTATTTACTCTTACCCTCATCCCTTCAAACCGTGATAATGCTCTTAATGGTCTCAAAGCTCGGAGAGTCCTAAGGGATTTCATGGGTCCCATTTCAGTACATCCACGTGAATTAACTATGAGGCTTATTAAAGAGACCTGAATGAAGACAAAGTCCAAAATATTAGTTCAATTCTACCATCTGTTCCCCCTCCTCTTTATATTTTTAACTCTTGCTTTAAAAAAAAAACTTACCCGTGGAAGTGTGAATAAGCAGCCTGTATAGCACAAGTAGAAATGCATCTTAAATGGACACTGACAAGTACAAAATAATGAGTAAAAACTTGGTCCCATGGAAGTTAATAGTACAATACCAATTTTCTTTAGTGGTGCCAAGATTTCACCCAATATATTTTAACAAAACAAATATACTTACCTGTGTTACTAACACTACCTGAGGTTATTAAAGCTGAAAGGAAATCTCAGTCTAAAATTCTAACAGAGTAATGATTTTCATTGCCCAAATTGAGACACAGTGAAGAGATCCAATTATCAAATGATGGGTGCTCAGCACTTTTTAAAAATCAATTCCCCTTCATGGTATGTCCAAAACAGAAGAGTGACCATTATGTTCCTGTATGCAGTCCACAGAAGTGTTCAAACGCAATACTTACACCTACAATTATGAAATCAAGCCAACACCAGGCATTGGTGAAATACTTTGTGAAGCCATAAGCCAACCATTTCAGAAACATTTCAAGGACAAAGACATAAGTGAAGATTTTATCCAGAAATTCCAACATGGTTCTAATATTTTTCCTTTCTGAAAGATGAATGTCTTCAAATGCCTGGAATAATAAAGATTAAACATAATCTCGCTCGACAGAATTTCAGTGGAATATTTTAATATGCATTATGAAACTTGAATATTCATCTTGCAAGCAGTGATACATAGGTTTAGCTTTACATGTGTAAGTAATCCCAATGAAGGCGATAATTAGAGCTGGCTGAAAATACAGAATTTGTTTTTCATGATTTCAGAAAAGTTTTCATCATGCATTGAATTGTTTCACAGACTGGGATCCAGAAAAAGTTACATTTGGGAAAATGCCAAAATGCTTTGTTTAGACCTTTTTAAATCTAGAACAGCAAATGTCTGACTATTCATGATTATTCAGCTTTTTTCTGCATCATTCAGGGATGGAGGTGAGATAGGATCTCCTCAGCATTCCCAAAAGTGCTGCCAATCCTGTCATACTGGACTAATTTATTACTGTGGCGTGGCAACTACACATAGCTCTCTATCCCTACTGTGATAGTGACTGACTCTCTAGAAGGCAGGGAGGGAGTTAGAAAACATTCCTCTGGTCCCACCTCAGGTGGCAGCACCCAGATTTGAGGCTTATCACATCAGACCAGCAACTTGCACCCATTCTCCTGCAAGTGCACCTTACACCACCTTAACCAGCTCCTAATATGGAGGAGCGTGACCAGGCATAGTATGTCTGTGAGCAGCACTCAAAAGAAAAAGCAATTGCAGGCTATGGTTATGGTGCTTGAAGACTGGAAACATGCACTTGTATTACAGGAGCTGCCCATGGAGGCCTGGGAATACTACCATGCTAAGCTAGAATAGGGAGGGAGGAATTTATCTGAGGGCAGGCTGAGCTCACACCCCTGATTATGGGTACGCTGTTGTTAAAATGTTGGGGTTCCCTAAAAATAATATTTTGGGGAGAAAAAAGTTTTGACAAACATTTTTGACCAGCTCTAGTGACAATAGTGAAAAGGAGATATAAGATACTGTAGAAGAGCTTTATTACCTCTTACCCTCATCTCTTCAAACTATGACAATGCTCTTAATGGTCTTACTATAGACAAAGAATAATCCCACTAAATTTATTCAGACTTACACCATTTTACCAATTTGTAGTTTGGTACACACACACACACACACACACACACATCACTACTGTTCTGAGCAATTTTGTTTTTAATGGATTCTAAAGGAAGAATATATTTTCAGATAAACAGAAATCTGGTGGTGGTATAGCTGTCTTCATCCAGGGATATAACAAAGACAAGGTGGGTGAGGTAATATCTTTTATTGGGCTAATTTCTATTGGTGGGAGACACTGACGCAGAGTCACAGAGTCTGGTTTATTTTCCATTCCCATCAGATTCCTAGAAGTGACTCCTTTTGTGTGCTATACCACAGGTGTTCCTAAATTAGGGACACCTGGAGTATGGAGGTTACACTGTAGTTTCATTTCATGTTGCAAGAGAATTAACATGATGGGTAAGAATCTTTGATTTTAATGAAACATCTATTCTGTATGAAATAACTGCCCACAGAAAAGCCACCGAAAAACCAGTATACAAGCAGAACAGAAATCATCTGTCCTGAGACTTATAGTACTTTACTGTCATTGTAAAAAAAAAGTCACCCTTATGGTAAGTAATTTTTCCCTCTCCCAACCAGTCTGAAAATACACCTTTCTGTTCTAAGCAAAAAAGTCATGTCTTGGATATATAATTAAAGCTCTATATACATTTATAATTCAACCTGATATGAGATTAAGTAAAAATTTACCAGGGCCCCGCTGCTCAGCAGGATCATAAATATGATAAAGCTTTCAAACCAGGAATGTTCAACAATTTTGTAGCAGGTTTTCCTCAGATTCCACCACATTTCACCTGGAAACTTTGTGGTATTCACCACACAACATGGGAAATGTTGAACGCAGCCTGAAAGAGGGACACGTGTTACATGAGCATCCAGTGTAACTATGGAAATTTCTGGGTTCAGTTCCTTAAATGTATCTTCTGCTTCTTTCCTCTCAGTCCTTTATTATTTGAAAGCAAACTATACAATTATTTTAAGCAATTAGGAATACCTTGCACCAATTAGTGAGCTGCCTTCCAGCTCACTGGAAATGACTAAAAACAGCAAGAATGCTCTTGGAATGCTGATGACTGAATTGACATAACAGGATGGCCTTCATGGCATTAGCGATTTACCAGCTTTCTCAATACCATGACTAGCATGGTACTTATCTTATTATATAGCTGGGGCAGGCAGAACTGCTTATTCTTAAGGCTGCCTGACACTGCCCCTTATAAAGCCCCATTTTCAATTCCCTTATAACTTTGTCAAACTTTAACCATTTTGACTGAAATGTTCCATGCTGGGGGTCTGCCACAAGTCTGTGCAACCTTAATATGGCCCTTTGTGCATCTGGATAATGAAACACTCCTTAATTATATGATCATATTTTTTTCCACAAGACCCCTGCTTCATTCAGTGCATAAGGATGGAGCTCCTCTGAGAATAACTAAGAGACGTGGTACCAAAAACAAAAAGTATTTTTGTAGTATCCTTGCTTTATTTATTCCAAAAGAGAAATGTTGTAATGGTAGACTTCAGGAAGAGAAAGGATGGCCTCATGGTTATGACAGGTGAATGGTGCCTGAGAAATTACATTGTACATCTGTTTCTTCCACAGACTTCTTATGTTGTGTTAGTTAAGTTACATAAAACAAACTTTTCACAGATGGTCATTAATTATATGTGCCTCATTTTATGGGAGCCTGACTGAAGGCCTTGGAGTCTCATAAACAGAAGTCCTGAGCACACACAGCCAGTAACTGAAATTAATTGGATCTGTGCTTTGAACACATGAAATTCTATATACTATTAAGTACTCTGAAAAATCAGGTCCTAGCTGTCTCCATTTGGGCACCCAAAATTAGTATTTTTAACTTAATCTCCCCAAGTCTCCATTTCCCATCTATAAAATGAGAAAATACCATCCCTTCACCTTACGAAAGTGTTGTGAAGACACGTTAAGCACTGCTTGTGAAGCTCTCATGTACTATAGCACAAGAGAAAATCCCATAAGAAATGTGATAATGCTGTCTTTATAGGAGATTTTGAATAGGGTACAGAAAACATGGCAAAGGACCACACACTAATCAACAAAGAGAAAACAAAAGACTGAATAGCTGATTATCAAGTGAGAGTCTAAATGAGGCAGGGTGCTAAGGAAAAAATAGTATGTGATCATGTAATTAAAGAATGTATCAAAATGGATATACACAAAGAGGACAGGTTAGGGATGCACAGACAACTTCAGTTCCGGCATTTCCTAACTTATGAGTGCTTCACTTTGCAACTTAAAATAACATTTTTTTTGTAATTATTACAAAAAGCATATATAATGTCTGGGGTATGCATGTCATGGATATGTTGGAACTGGTTTTAACTAAGTGACCTGCTTCCTTACTGTTTATAAACAAGTTTTAGATGATTACTTCATACCCATTTATATTGCATAGGTAGATCATAGTATACTTTTAAATAGTTTGAGAGTCCTGTAGTGGTATTCACTGTGTTTTATGTTCTGAGGAGCTACTAGGACTAGACAGAGTAGGTGTATGTGTAGCAAGACCTTAAGGCTACGTCTACACTGGCCCCTTCTTCGGAAGGGGCATGCTAATTTTGAACTTGGAAATAGGGAAATCCACGGGGGATTTAAATATCCCCCGCGGGATTTAAATAAACATGGCCGCCGCTTTTTTTCCGGCTTGGGGAAAAGCCGGAAAAAAGCATCTAGACTGGCGCGATCCTCCGGAATAAAGCCCTTTTCCGGAGGATCTCTTATTCCTACTTTGAAGTAGGAATAAAAAGCGGAAAAAAAGCGGCGGCCATGTTTATTTGAATCCAGCAGGGGATATTTAAATCCCCCGCGGATTTCCCTATTCCCAAGTTCAAAATTAGCATGCCCCTTCTGAAGAAGAGGCCAGTGTAGACGTAGCCTAAATGTTTATAAGTATTTAATAAATGTGGTTATTTGGAACTGAATGGCCAGTGCAGTTTCTTTATATTATTTTTGTTCTGTAAACAGCAAAAGACGTAATGCCACTTTCAGTGTACTGATAAACACTTTTTAAAGCTTGCCTCATAAAATTATCCCTACAGACCTGTAACCATGTTTGTTCTTCAACTCTGAATTCTGTTCAGTTTGTCAACAAGAAATGAAAGCAGTGTTCTAAGAACAGTTTTACCATAAAGGGACTTGACCTATAACAAGTTACTTTTCCTGACCTATGATGATGATAATGATGATGGGCAATCACTCATTGCTGAGTTATCTTCTGAGGGAGTTATGGACCCTCAGGCTAAGTCTAGACTGCTGGCTTCTTTCAGAAGAAGCTTTTCTGGAAGAGATCTTCTGAAAAAACTTCTTCAGAAAGAGACCATCCACACTGCCAAAGTGCACTGAAAAAGCAATCTGTTTTTTCAAACATAAGAACGGCCGTACTGGGTTGCAATCAATAGTTAACTATCCATATCAAAAATCTGGCAACAGTGTGAGATGAGATTATTTTAAATAAGATTATCAGTTAATCGCAGTTAACTCTCACAGTTAGTTCAAAAAATTAATCAGGATTTTAAAAATTAATCATGATTATTCACAATGTTTTAAAAGAATATCAGTTGAAATCTATGTATTGATTTTTGTTACAACACAGAATGCAAAGTGTATAGTGTTCACTCTATATTATTGTTTTTATTATGAATATAGTATTTTTCAGTTCACTTTGTAGAGCAATCTCCTTATTATGAAATTATAACTTACAAATGTAAGAGTGTGTAACTGCACTCAACAACAAAACAACGTAAAACTTTAGAGCCTACAACTCCATTCAGTGCTACTTCTTGTTCAGCCAGTTGCAAAGAATGCATCTACACAGCAGCGCTAGCTCAAAATAAACTACACAATTTGAGCTACACAAATTGCATAGCTTATTTCAGGATAGTTTATTTTGATATTTGGCACTGTCTACACAGCACCAAATTTCAAAATAGACCGCTATTCCAACAAGTCCCTTAATCCTCATGGAACAAGGTTTACCAGGACATCAGAATAGCAAGCCCATTGTTTTGATTGTATTTCACATCCATGAGGTTTAAGGGATGTTTCGGAATAGTGGTTTATTTTGAAATTAGATCAAAATAAGATACTCAATTTGTGTATCTCAATTGTATATCTTATTTCAACCTATGGTGCAGAGTAGATGCACCCAAAGACAGACAAATTTGTTTACATTTATAAAAAATAATGCTGTCCACTTCTTATTTACAAAGTTACGCGAAAGTAAGAACAGGTGTTTTCATGGTACTTTTATAGCCAGCATTACAAGATATTTAACTGCCAGATATACTGAAGATTCATATGTGCCTTCATGCTTCAGCCATCATTCCAGAGGTCAAGCTTCCATGCTGATGATGCTTGTTAAAAAAATAATGTATTAATAAAATGTGTGACTAAATTCCTTGGAGGAGAATTATATGCATCCTGTTCTGTTTTACCTGCATTCTGCCATATATTTCATGTTATAGCATTCTTGGATAATAACCGAGCACATGTGTGTTTTAAAAATACTTTCTCGGTAGATTTGACAAAATGCTGTAAGAAGGAAATAGTGACTAGCATAGCGAAAGCAAGAGTGAGTTTGAATGCAATGGATAAGTTCTGGAAAAGTAAAGTGATTAGCTTAGGAATTAAGCTGAGCGTCTTGAAAATGCATAGAAAAAGGATTTCCAATGCTGGAAAAAACCCTCTGTTCTTTTTATTTACTTTTGAAAGAATGCAATTGCAGTGTGAATGTAACTCAGGTTTGGTTGGAAAAATGGCTATTTTTCCGACAAAACTCAGTAGTATAGACATACCATCCAATGTCTGATAAGGCCAATTCTTGAACAAGTTCTATTTCAGTGAAGACAGATGTTTCCAGGTACAGCAGGAGGATTTTGACCATGACTAGAAGCCAATCTCCCATTCTTCCTGCACCTCTTCTCTTCAGCATGTCGGTGGGCAAATTCTCTCCATTTTGAGTGATCTTAGATGAACCAGTGTCTCCCAAGTGTCAGTGCTGCACTTCTTTAAATTATCCTTTCGTAAGTCCTTATAATGCTTCCATTGTCCTCCCATATTACAGTACCCTTCTTTCAGCTGAGAAAATAGGACCTATTTTGGGAGGTGATGACCTGGCATCCAAACAGCATGACCAGTCCAGCAAAGTTGCTGACGGATGATCATTGCCTCGATACCTGAGATCATTACTTCTTCGAGAACACCAATGTTAGTGTGCCCATCTTCCCATTTGATCTTCAAGATCTTTCACAGGCAGTGTTGGTGATACCTCTTAAGGACTTTCAAGTGATGTCTATAGGTTTTCCAGGTTTCAGATCCATACATTAGCATTGGGAGAATGACGCCTTGATAGACAAGAAGATTGGCGTCTGTTTGAATGTTGTGATCTTCAAAAACCCTGTGCTGTAAATTAGCAAAGGCTGCACTGGCACAGTTCAGATTATGCTGGATTTGCACATCAATATCTGCTTTGGATGAAAAATAATTGCCAAGGTAGAGAAAATGATCTATATTCTCCAGTGACTCTCCAATTCATTTGAAGTGGGTTGATGGAGCACTTTGGTCTTCTTTATGTTGAGGGTAAGACCAAGAAATGCATAAGCATCAGCAAACACATTCAAAATAGTTTGAGGACCTTTCTCAGAATGGGCAAAAACTGCATTATCATCAGCATACCGAAGTTCCACGATAGATGTGGTGGCAATCGTACTCTTAGCTTTCAGTCTGCTCAGAGCCTAAACAATTTTCCCTCCATTCTGTAGATTATTTCAACGCCAGCTGGGAGCTTCCCAGCAATTAGGTAAAAAATGACTGCAATAAAGACCACAAACATATTTGGGGCAATGAGAGAGCCCTGTTTGGGTGTGTCTAGACTACATGCCTCCATCGACAGAGGATGTAAACCTCGTTTCACGAGGCATAAGGGATCAGTCGGCAAAGGCTTCCCCAGCCAACAGATCTGCGTCTAGACTGCCGCACTGTGTTGGATCAGCTGATCGTTGGCACAGCGCAGCAGCCATGTTTATTTTAATGAAGTGGGGATTATTTAAATCCCTGCTTCTTTGACTATGCCGAATAAACTAATTGACGTCTCCGTTGATGGAGCCATGTAGTCTAGACATACCCTTTCATTTTACTTAGATGATAGAGCTTGCGAGTATTTCCCTTTTCCGATCTGGCTAATCTACATGCCTCCGTCGAAGGAGGCATGTAGTCTAGACACACCCTTTGACTCCTGTTTGTACTTTGAAAGGTTCACTCTGGGTGCCAGTGCTGCTCAGAACAGCCGCTTTCATGTTGTCATGAAGCAACTTTAGGACATTGATGTATTTACCAAGATATCCAATATTCAAAAGTATAGTCCAAAGGCCACGGCCTGTCACTGAGTCAAAGGCTTCAGTTAGATCAATAAAAGCCATGTATAGTGCTTGGTTTTCCTCCTGCCAGCTGAAAACAATTGGAATCTTCCCACTGGCTTTAATAGTTTTGGATCACATATTGCATTACAAGTTATATGTAATTTGCTTTATTCTCTTTTTAAATTACTGCTTCCTAAATTATCTCTCTCTGGGATTATTTTTACCCAAATATCTTATCCTGATAATTTCATTGTAGTACTTGTCCATGTATTTTATATCTTCTTTATTATTTCTTTTTTAGCATTGATGTTTGCAACATTCTCCAGTTTAGAGACATATGCTGGAGCACCCCTGCCCACTGTGTATTGGGCCGGCTTACATGCCCCCGCTCATAGTGGGCCCCACAGGTTAACCGTAACTGGTAAATATCATCTGGTAAGGGAGATGATTACCAGTTAACCATTCACATCCCTATGGGAAGCAGGAAATATATCAGACTGGCACATTAAAGTATTGACGATGTTTCTTTTTTCAGTTATAAACACAAGCATGAAACCACAATGGTTATCTGCTTCACTGGTATCTACTCCAGCGCTAGTTTATGAAGCCTTTGTTAGAACAGTAATTTAGTACTTGCACCTGCAATGAAACTTCCTCATGCTGAATTTCTGGACAAAATTCAGGAATGGAAGAGTGGGGGAATCAGAAGTAATTGGGAAGGAAATACTTGTGTGTTGCAGGGGAGAGGTTGGGGTGGAATGATAAACAAGGCCCTGAATAGTGCAGGAAAAATGTGGAAGAGAAGATAACAGGGGAGATCATGGTAAGGAGGGGTTGTGAAAATCTAGAGTGTGGTTAAAATGAATAGGGAGCAGGACAGAAGCGGGGATAGTGAGCACAACGAGGAAGAGGTAGTCAGATAGGGTTAGTAAGTGAAGAAAGAAGCTCGATGGCAGAAGCAGAGCTGCTATGGATAACTGAGGTCACAAAGTGGGTGGATACAAGAGATAAGAAGTCAGAAGAAGCGAGGATGGTTGAACAGTACATTCAAGCTGCAACAGCTAATGGCTGATGGAGGGGCCAAAAGAAGGAGCCTTTGTGTCTTGTGAGTCAGCTGGTAGGAGGAAAGAGCATGTCCGCTGATGGGAGTGGCATTGTGATAAAGGAAGCTGAGTACTTCCCAGCTTTCTAAAATCAGCTAGTTCTCCAGGAACATTGGTCCTTTCTAATCATAAGGAAGCATAACCCAGGAGAAAATGAATTTAAATGTGAATTGATCTTAATGACATTTTACCCTTTTACTTCTAGTACAGACACTTCAAGGAGAGTACTGTTTGTTCTGAGTAATAAAGGATATGAAGTAGGGGCTTGAAGGAAATGTTAATACATTTAATTTTTTCTCTAGTAAAAACCACTGTTTTCTTGGTTTTGGCTAAAAGGACCCAGCTATGATAATTTAAATAAACATCGAATAAAATACTGACGTGAAACATACTTGTAAAGCTATTCAGCAATTTAAACTAAGCTTCTGGACTTACTATCCTACAGAAATTCAGCTAGACGCTAATAAGTTCTCTCCACCTTTTCATGTGTGTTTTGATTATTACAGAAATCTATGGATAAAAAATGCTATGCAGCTACTCAATTGATATACTATTATTAAATAATCTGCAAGTAGACAGTGCCCTGGTGTTGACTGCCAACGTGTCTCAACATTAAAATAGGAGAATAGGCTACTTTGGATTGTTCATCTCATTTCCTAATCATAGTGAAATCATCAGATCCTTACTTTCTGAAAAACAGTTATCAGGTTCTTTTAAGTCTTCAGCCAGCTCGGGGATCTGTTTCAGAAGCTCTTCTGGATTTGTGAAATCCACTGTGCTGCCTTCAGAGCAGCTGATATAATCAAGTTTCTAGACAAGAGAAGACAATATATCAAAAGTTTGTTTAAATGAGTCACTATACTTTAAAATAAACTGAATAAGTACAATGGTGAATAGTTCTGAGTGACGCAGTGATAGTCACAATCACCACAGCACTGATACCCAGCACTGATGAGATCTGCACAATCATGGTCTGCATCTGTTCATTCCTCAGACTCTGGGGAGTCATTTGTATTGGGCCTGGACCACCTATATGTCCCAGTCCCAACACTGTGCAGAATGCCATGAATTACGGAACCCACCAACTTGGCCACCACAATAGCAAAGGACTCTATAGTGGCCCTTTTGGGCCTATCAACAGATTCGAGGGCAGGGCTCCAGGGCTGCTTCAGTAGCGTTGATGCCTCGAGGTTGCCCTTCTACAGCCTCAGCATCCCATAAAGCCACGGCAGACACCATGAGAGATACAGCTGGCAGACTGGAGGAGTAGAACTCTTAGGGTGCGTCTACACAGCACCCTTGGCTTGAAACAAGCTATGAGATTTGCACTACACAAATTACATAGCTTATTTTGAGTGTATCTTAAAATAGCTTATTTCATAATTTGGTGCTGTCTACACAGCACCAAATTTCGAAATAAAGCACTATTCTGAAACGTCTCCTACTCCTTGTGGAATGAGGTTTACAGGACGTTGGAACAGTGAGCCTATTATATTCAGAAATAACAGGCTTGCTGTGAAGATGTGGGATAGCTATTTTGTGATATTCTGGTATCCCAAAATAGCGTTGCAGTGTATAATCAGCTTGGAAAACTGTTTCTAAACACATTCAAAATTAATCTAATGTGTTTTAAAATTATACAAAAAAAAGGACTGGATACCACAGAATGGCCCCTGAAACTATTTTCTGGAATAAAATGCTTTGGGTAATAAAGATGTCAAGAGATATAAAGTAGGCAATGTTAAATTTACAGGTAATCATTCTGAATCAAAGGCAATTTACAAACTAGTTTCTCTTTCTAATAAAGTGTTAATGAATACTTATAAATACAGCACTGTGCCATCTCCATTCACAGAGACCCAACAATTCCACAACTAACCAATGAGACACAATACTTAAAGTTAAATATAACTGAACCAAGTAAATTTACAAGATATGTTATGATGCAAGTATTAGTCAAAATGGAACAATAATGAACACCCACAAGATTGGAATATCTGAAATCTCCCAAATATTTGAAGAAAAAGTTCTTGTGCTTTAAACATAAAATAGAATAATAAAAAACTTACTGTACAACATTATTTTGGAGTCATTATCAGATTCCAAAAAACTAAACAGAAATATGCAGCTATTGGCCCATGTTGGTGACTTTATGTTAGGTAAGAATTCTTTTACCTCTTTTTCTTCTTTTGATGAGTCAACCTTCCCTTGTATAAATATGTTTAACTCGCTTGAGTCATCAGAGAAAACTTCAGATCCTTTACTCCATACTCCTGGGCTTTTACATCGCTCTCCCCTCTGTCTCAGGTGGTATTCCTGCTAAAGATAATCTTAGATGGTTTTATTTTATTTTCTCTTTCCTATTTTATTCACAGGGATGGCACACTTAATTTTAAAGAACACTCCAAATGGTACACCAACTACCCTGAAGTGTTCTCTCACTCTCTTGACTTTTTTGGAGAGAAACAAACTGGAAAAAGGTTTTCTTCATTATCTAAAATTAATTAAAAAATTTCAAGTGCAGGCAGCTAATCAAGGGCATGATCAAAAGTCCACTAAAATGAATGGGAATCTTTGCAACAGAACCAAATGAAGAACTCAGTATAACTATGTAGCAGCATTTAGGATCTGTAGGGAAGATTTTAAAGTCACAGTCAATCATGACTCCTGTGACATTTCCTGTGGGTACCCAGGATTCTGAGGCACTTCACTACCACATGCCCTTAGTAAGAGAAAGCCTTGTCTGTCCCTGCTGTGGGTCAGCTCACCAACTCCACTGTCCACAGGCAACACCAGTATTGCCTTCTATATCTAGCAGGTTCTACTTTCTCTGACTTAGCAATAGGCACCTTCCAACCCCTAGCCGCTCCCAGTATCCAGGCCCTGTTCCCTGTACTCACCATACTCTCAGATTTGTTGCTCCCATAGAAGCATTACACCTCAGATTCACCAATTATACCTCAGATTACCACTTTATTTAGCAGTCAGCAATTAAACACATGCATAGTGAAAACAACAGTACAAAGTTTATTCAAAAAAGTATGGCACTTCAAGTGATAGCAAACAGTACAGGAAACAAATGGCACACTACACGTATTCTAGAACAGTGTTTCTAAAAGAAAACCACTACACGTATTCTAGAACAGTGTTTCTAAAAGTCTACCGTGGAAACACTTTTAGAAACACTTTAACTGGCCACCCTGGTTTGTTTATGTATTGGCACCGCGGCCACGGAGCCTTGCAGCTCCTATTGGCTCCGTTTTGTCTTTTGCAGTCAAGGGGAGCTGCAGGAAGCAATGGCCCAGCCCATACCACTTTCCACGGCTCCCCTTGGCTGCAAAGAATATGATCTGAGGAAGTGAGTCTGGCCCACGAAAGCTCATCACCTATTAAACCAACTTGTTAGTCTTCAAAGTGCTACATAGTTTTTCCTTTTGTTTTAGTCTTCACAACATTCTCTGGAAAGGAATTCCACAAGTGGATTGTGTGCTGCATGAAGAAAAACTTCCTTTTGTTTTTTTTAAACCTGCTGCCTATTAATTTCATTTGGTGACTCCTAGTTCTTATATTGTGGGAATAAGTAAGTAAATAACTTTTCCTTATTCACTTTTTTCACCTCAGTCATGATTTTATAGACCTCTATCATATCTCCCAATAGTCTCCTCTTTTCTAAGCTTTTTAATCTCTCTTCTTATGGGACCTGTTCCAAACCCCTAATCATTTTTGTTGCCCTTCTCTGAATCTTTTCCAATGCCAATATATTTTTTTGGCGATGAGGCGGCCACATTTGCACAAAGTTTTCAAGATGTGGGTGTATCATGGTTTTATATAGAGGCAATAAGTTATTCTTTGTCTTATTCTCTATCCCTTTTTTAATGATTCCTAACATTCTATTTGCTTTTTTGACTGATACTGCACACTGTGTGGGTGTTTTCAGAGAACTATACACAATGACTCCAAGATCTCTTTTCTAAGTAGTTGTAGCTAAATTAGTCCCCATCATATTCTATGTATAGTAGGGATTATTTTTTCCAGTGTGCATTACTTTACATTTATCAACATTAAATTTAATTTGCCATTTTGTTGCCCAATCACTTAGTTTGGGGAGATCTTTTTGAATCTCTTTACAGTCTGCTTTGGTCTTAACTATCTTGAGCAATTTGGTATCATCTGCAAATGTTGGTACCTCACTGTTTATCCCTTTCTCTAGATCATTTATAAATAGGTTTGGTTTCTAGGACAGATCCTTGGGGGACCTCACTAGTTACCTCTCACCACCCTGAAAACATACCATTTATTCCTACCCTATGTTTTCTGTCTTTTAACCAGTTACCAATCCATGAAAGGACCTTCCCTGTTATCCCATGACAACTTTGTTTAAGAGCCTTGGTGAGGGACCTTGTCAAAAGCTTTCTGGAAATCTAAGTATACAATATCCACTGGATTCATGTTTGGTCCTGCTGTGAGGGCAGGGGACTAGACTCAATGATCTCTGAAGATCCCTTCCAGTACTAGTATTCTATGATTCTATGTTTGTTGACCTTCTCAAAGAACTCTAGTCTAGTAGTTTAGTAAGGCATGATTTCCCTTTACAGAAACCACGTTGACTTTCCCCCTACAAATTATGTTCATTTATGTGTCTGACAATTTATTCTTTACTATAGTTTCCTCTAATTTGCCTGGTACTGACTTTGACTTACCAGTCTGTAATTGCCAGGATCACCTCTAGAGCCCTTTTTAAATATTGGCATCATGTTAGCTCACCATCCACTGTTTTTATTCATGAGCTTCAATTTTCCCTGTAAATGTCCTCTTTTTGAAGATTCTGCAATCTCTTCACTAGCATTTATACAAATTGCTGCCGATTGTGAGACAAATACACAGACAACCAGACAGGGAGATAAATGCCATTATATGTTCCTTGAAAGGAATATTCCTGAGGTATGTCATCTTTGGGTTACCTGCCTTGAGAACCTAATTTTCAGTTTAGACTCACAACATTTTTAATATTAAGAGTACACAGACTTTCTATGCCACCATTTAGTGTATTACTATGCATATAACTGACTCAAGGGATCCCTGTAAAGCTATAATACTGGGCATACAGAAGTCTCTCCACAGTTAAAGAGAAACAGCAAAAATTTCAAACACATAAAAATGTGATACTGTGCACTATAATATAATAAATATAACTTGGAAAGAGCCATTCCATTTTTAACGCATCCATCTTTTTGTTAAAATGTCAGAAGAGAAAGCAATGTCTCCTTGTTAACAGTTCACAGAGGCCTTGTCTCTATTTTCTCTCTGCCAGGTTACTGATACCAAACATAGATTCATAGATTTCAAGGTCAGAATGGACTACTATGATCAACTAATATAAATCTGTCCATAATGCAGACAGTAGAATTTCACCCAGTAATTCCTGCATCAAGCCCAACAATGTATCGTCTGTATTTCTCTCTTATTTTAAAGACTCCAAGTGATGGAGAATTTATCTAATCCTTGGTAAATTCTTGTAACGATTGATCATCCTCACTTTAAAAAAATAAAACCGTTACTTACCTTTCATAACTCTTGTTCTTTGAGATGTCTTGCTCATGTCCGTTCCATGCAGGTGTACAGATGTCAGAGCTTTTTTCCTCCAGTGGTACCTGTTGGGCCAGTCAGGGAGCCCCCCTGCAGTGGAACCACTATATCAGTGCATATGTACTTTTGCTGGTCCTCCACCCTCTCTGTTCCTTCTTCTCGGAATCCTCCGACAAAGGGGAGGCAGGTGGGATTTAGAATGGACATGAACAACACATCTCGAAGAACAAGTTACAAGAGGTAAGTAACTGCTTTTTCTTTGAGCACTTGCTCATGTCCATTCCATGTAGGTGACTCCCTAGCTCTATCACAGGAGGCAGGGAAATAAACTAAGTGGAAATGGACTGCAGCACAGCCTTGCCAAAGGCTGCATCATACCTGGCCTGATGCACAATATCATAGTGACTGATGAATGTGTGCACCAATGACCAGGTGGCTGCCCTGAAGATGTCAAGATGTCAATGGGCACCTTCACTAAGAAGGCCGAGAATTAGGCCTGTGTCCTCGTGGAATGAGCTGTGGGGAGGAAGGCCTGGCCTGTTGGCATGTTTTAATGCAAAACGTGATGACGTGAACCAGGATGATAAACATTGGGCCAATACCCGGAAGCCCTTCATCTTCTCAGCTATGGAAATAAAGTGTTGAGGTAAGTTGTCCAATGGTCTCATTCTTTCTGTATAAAACGCCAGGGCTCTCCTGACATCCAACGGGTGCAGGGACTGCTCTTCGGGCATAGAGTGAGGTTTTGGGAAGAAAACTGAAAGGTAAATGTCCTGGGACATATAGAAGTGGGAGACCATATTAGGAAGAAACGTAGGGTGAGGTGCAGTCTGACCCTGTCTTTAAAGAAAACTGTTTAAGGTGGCTCCAATGTGAGGGTCCTCAATTCTGAGACTCTTCTAGCCAATGTAATGGCCATCAAGAAGTTGACCTTCCAAAAAAGGGGTTTCATAGAACAAGTGGCCAAAGGTTCAAACGGGGGTTGGGGGAGGGGCTCATGAGCCTTGACAGGACCAAGGCTGATGGACACAGGGGATAACATGTCCACTTCCCCGAGGAAGCACTTGACTAGCACATTTGCAAACAGTGCTGCCCTCCTCCCCTGGGTGAAATGTCAAAATGGCTGCTAGATGAACCTGAACAGATGAGGTGGATAGGGGATGGAGACCTCCATGGATTCCACCTCTCTCTGGGAGGCCCACAGGGTGAAATACCTCCTATTTGCCAAGTATGCAGCTCTAGTGGTGGGTTTCCTGCTCTCCTACAGAACCGTCCTTAATGCCTCCAAGCAGAAACATTCATCACCTGTTAACCACAAACCTTCCATGCTGAAAGGTAGAGAGAATGGAGGTTCGGGTGGCACAATTCTCCCTCCCCCAGGTCCTGGGTTATTAGATCAGGCAGTAAGGGAAGGACCATGGGCTCCTCCACTGAGAGATCCAAAAGGGTGGTGAACCAGTGTTGGCAAGGCCATGCTGGCGCCACCAGAATCACTGAGGCCCTGAACCTCTTGACCCTGAGGAGGAACTTATGTATCGGAGGGAATGGCAGGAAAGCATAGAGCAACTGAGGAGTACATTCCACATGTAGGCTCCCCCCTGACCAGGCCATGTAGGAGCAGAAGTACCAACACTTCTGGTTGCTGTGGGTGGCAAACAGATCTAAATGGGTATGAGACTATCTGAGGAAAATCTCCAGCACTACATCCCCCTGAGGGACCATTTGTGCACCCTAAGGGTGTGACTACACAGCAAAGTTATTTTGGAACAATTGCTGTTATTCTGAAATAACTATATGAAAATCTACACAGCAATTCCGTTATTTCAAAATAATTGTAAAATAACGGACAGCTTATTCTGACTTCTGTAAAGCTCATTCTACAAAGAATAACCTCTATTCTGAAACAGCTATTTCAGAATAGGGGCTGTGTAGAACTCTCGGCCTCTGCTATTTCGAAAAAGTCCCTCACCAGGGCCACTCTAAGTTATTCCTCCTGGGGCTCTGAATCAAGATAGAACATCTACATTAGGGAAGCCTGCCTCGGACTAATTTTGAGGCTTCCCTGCAATGTAGATGTGCTATTTTGAAATAAGCTATTTTGGAATAACTGCAGTGTAGACATAGCCTAAATGACCTGCTGAGCTTGTCTGCCAAGACATTCTGGGTTCCTGGGAGGTGTGTTGCCTCCAGGTGAATACTGTGGGTAATACAAAAATCCCAAAGGAGCAGAGATTTTCTGCTCAGGACTGCTTGGGGGAGTCTTCAAATGCTGCCTCTCTCCCTGAGCAAAAATCTCTCAGCTCCCATTGGCCAGTTTCTGGCCAATAGGAGCTGGGAAGTTTTCTTGGGGAGCAGGGGCAGCGTGGGAAGCCTCCCTCCCTGCCTTCCATGTCTGGAGTGGACCCTATACCTCCCTCCTACACTTCTCCCATAGGCCAGAATCCTCTCTTGCACCCATACCCCCTCTCCCCCGATCGTATACCCCATTCCCCTGCCCCAGGTCACCATCCAAACCCTCTGTACCCCCCCTTCACCCATGTTACAACTCCCTCACAGACTTTGCACCACCTCTTAGAGCCTCTCCCCCAGGCCAGAATCCTCTCCTGCGCCCTTACCCCCACCTGGACCATGCACCCCAAGCTCCGGCCCCAGATCACAGCCGCCTCCTTCACCCAAACTCCTTCTCAGACCCCATACCCACTCCTGAACCCAAATCCCCTACCCCAAGCTTCCTTCTGCACCCCGCCTCAGTCCCAGACCCCACCCCCACCCACTCCATAGAACTGCGGCCCTTGACCACTTGCCAAAATCTTGAAGTGCCCCCCCCATTAAAAATTATTGCTCACCCCTGAACTAACTATTAACCCCAAGAATTTACTAGGAACATTAGAACACTAAAACAGACTATATACACTAAGGCTGAGGGTAGACTTGTGAGAAGTCGAGATGCTCCATCTATTGTCACAGGCGGTAAGAAGAAACTGTGGGGGTGAAGGGCCAGCAGAGGTATAAATGCACCAACAGAGTGGAGCCACTCCAGGGGGCTCGCTGGCTGGCCCAATGAGTACCACTGGGGGGAAAAAGTTCAGACAACCATGCAAGCAGCATGCATACACCTACATGAAATGGACATGAACAAGCACTCAAAGAATTAAACCTCATTTCCAGTCAGAACATTTTAAATTTCAAATTCCTGCAGCTGGATCGTGCTTTGCCTTTGTTTGCTAAATGAAAACCTCCATTAGTATGCAATATATTATCCCTGTATATGCTTCTTACCTGTTTATTGTACTCAGTTTCTGAGAGTGTGGTCATCTTATTATCATCTTCTTCATAATCCTCAGTATCAGTATCTGCCTCAGCAATAGGGACACAGACAAACATGTTGGGATTGTTGATGATATCTTCAAGAATACTAACAGAGGATTTGTCCCCATTTTTCTCAGTCCCATTGTTACTGTGATTTTCTTTACAATTCCTTGTTTCTTTCCCACCCTCCACACACGTGTTCTTGGCAGCCAATTTAATTGTTTTTTTGGCAATTTTCTTTGGATGACAGAGCTTTCCACAGCAGTAATCCCATGTTTTGCGTTTCACTTGGCAAAGTCCCCTTCGGATTTGAGCAAATGCAGTCTTAAGATTGTTCATCTCTCCATCATCTTCTGGAGCCTGGAGGTTGTCAGCACTGAAGGAGTTCAGCAGCAATGCAATGAACAGGTTGAGAACCTGAAAATAATTGAAATAAAAATAAAATAAAGGAAACATAATTTTGAAAAGTAAATAGTGGGCATGAAGATTATAGTGCCTTTCTAAACAATTTTTTCTGAATGCACCAACCACATGAAGATGAAATGAACTTATTGGTTAGCAAATTTTTTTCATGCAGCATATTTGCCTCTCACAACGGTATATGTTTCTATGATCACCCCCCCAAAAAAGTAGATTTTGTGTAGCATAAAATGACCTTATTGCCAATACAAGCCTATGTATGAAAAAAACACAATTTAACTGAAACATAACAAGATTTTTAAAAATTGGTATATCACAGTATTCTGTCAGTCCCACAAGAGAAGGCAATTACATAAAATTATGGATATACTAATGATTGGGGTATTAGTCTTTTACCTGGGCTGTACTGGCAAAACAGTGTTGGAGAGGATTGAACAGTAGAGCTACAGCCGCTCCCTGAGATGTGAACGGTCGAGTTACGACTGTTTGCACTTACGACTAAGCTCCCATGGAGCGGTTGTAAAGGCGGTCCCCGAGTTACGAACGCAACCCGCGCTTACAAACAGCACGGTAGCATGTAATTCAACGGGGTCTGAGTTACAAACGGATCGAGTTATGGCCAAGTGTTTGGTCCGTAACTCGTTCATAACTCGGGGAGAGGCTGTATTTGGATTTTAGGTAAGAGCACAGTTTAGACCTAATACAGGATAAGAAGGCTCTGACACTAGTCTCATAACAGTTTTACTTAGGTGTAATTACAACAGACTTGAGTTGAGTTGTTTCTGATTTTCATGTGTGTGAGATCAGACTCAGGCTCAGTATGTCTATCAACATTGTACCATTGCAAAAAGAATATTCTAGTTCTTATTTCCCTTAGGTAGAATCAATTTGATTGCAGGTGGCATTGCAAAATGTATATTTGGTTAAAGGTTGAATATATTGCTCCAAATAGAGTTTGGGAGGTGGCTGAATCAGCTGTTACTAGAATCATGTTTTTTCCTCCTGGGTTTTCCAAAGGGGGGGGGGGTCTAGAAACTTGGGAGGAAAACCTATTTCTATATTCATTTTAAGATAATAGTGGGATTATATGGTTGCTTATCTTTAAGTAATGGTGGTTCTTTGAAAGGAGCTATCTATATACAATTCCATGGATGGTGTGCACATGCTCTTAGCACTCAAGTCTAGAGTTTTTTGGCCAGCAGTGTACATTGAGGCCATACCAGTGCTTTGAGTGTTCTCATGCCTCCAAAAGAAGACATCAAGTGTGGGACAATCCCAACTGCTCCTCAGTTTCTTTTCCAGTATAGAATCCTAATGTGGTAAAACTCTGTTGTAGCAGGGAAGATGGGTCAGTCGTGGAATGTATATGGACAGCGCATTTTTTTCTCCATTCAAGATCATCTGAAGAAGTGTGTTTTCCCCATGAAAGCTGATGATACTATATATGTTTTTGTTAGTCTCTAGGGGTGTGTCTAGACTACATGCCTCCTTCGACGGAGGCATGTAGATTAGCCAGATCGGAAGGGGGAAATGAAGCCGCGATTAAAATAATCGCGGCTTCATTTAAATTTAAATGGCTGCCCCGATCTGCCGATCAGCTGTTTGTCGGCAGATCGGGGCAGTCTGGACGCGATGCGCCGACAAAGAAGCCTTTCTTCATCGGCACAGGTAAACCTGGTTTCACGAGGCTTACCTGTGCCGATGAAGAAAGGCTTCTTTGTCGGC